GACAGATAATCTGGTATTCATGGAAGTTACCATAACAAAGTAGTTCCAGATGACAGATAATCCGGAATACGTGGAAGTTACCAGAACAAAATAATTCCAGATAACAGACAATCCGGAATACATGGAAGTTACCAACAAAATAGTTCCAGATGACAGATAATCTGGTATTCATGGAAGTTACCACAACGAAGTAGTTTCAGATGACAGACAATCCGGTATACATGGATGTTACTCTAACAAAGTAATTCCAGTTAACAGATAATTCATCATACAGGGAAGTTTCCATGACAAATTAGTTCCATATAACAGACAATATAGCATTCAGAGAAATCTACCGTGGCAAAGTGGTCGAATAGAAAAGTCTAGTTCATCGTGATGAAGTAGCTATTTTCTATCATTGCGATAAAAATTTGCATATGCCAATGTTATTTGAGGAAGATAGTCCGTAGGTTGTTTAAAGATTGAAAACATTGGGCCTTCTTTTTGTAAGCGTTTTAAGCTAACAATCATTTTAATTTAATTTAACGAGTAATGTGCAAATAAATTATGTGCGCATACTCTTTGCAACGTTACTAGACTTCATACACGTTACAGTTAGCCCTTTCCTTTTTATGTAAGTTTGTTTTCTTGTTTGTTGAATTTCGAACAAAGCTACTCAATGGATATCTGCTTAGTTGCCCCTAATTTAGAAGTAAAGACAAGAGGGAAGGCATCTAGTCAATACCACCCACCGCCAACTCTTGGGCCATTCTTTTACCAACAAAAAGTTGGATTGACCGGCATATTATAACGCCCTCCCGACTGAAAGGGCGAACATATTCGGTGAAAGGATTCGAACCCGCAACTCACAGATCTTCTTTATGTATATGTTCGTCTAAAATTGCTCAAACGATTTTTCTTCGTATTAATTTGTCTTTGAATTACAAATACCTGTTTGTCTAGTGTCCTTAAAAGAAATAAATGGATGTCTAAAGAGAAATGCGGTTTGGTAGCTGAAATAAGGGTAAATACATAAACTTCGTAGGTGTATAAGCTAGAAGCAGAATAAGAAATGGCTTTAGTCAGAAAACTTGAGCGTTTTCCGGTTGAAAGTCAGCAGGTGATATAACCTGAAACTACAGTGTATTAAATAATTAAACTATAATTACGATGCATAATATTATAGGCTTTTTATGAAATAATAACATTCAGTCTCCTCAATTCATTCTTGTATAAACCAGGTATCGTATAACCCGAAATTCAAATTACACGGGCCTACGATGGTTTTATTGTCTTGAAATTTTTACACATCATTTACAGTAATTCCTGTACGCTGAATCCGTTGTTGATATCCATTTTTCTCCATAACGTACAGATTTTTCACAAAACGACATAACGCAATACATAAAAGAAAGACCACAACACGTAATTTTGAGACAAAAAAAAATCACGATGAATGAGGATGCGTATTCGTTTGACATCAGTGTTCTTCCCTTTTCTTCAGTTTGTTTGTATTTTTCTCAACAAACATAATAATAAGAAATGTTCATAGTGATAAAAGAAATAATTTTATCTTAGTAAGAGTTTTTTTTCTTTCCGATTTGTAAAAACGTCCTTACGTGATGAAAAAAAAATAATATTATTTTCGAAATCTGCAGAGCTAAATTATGGAAAATCCGTTATTCAATCCAAAACAACTTTTATGAAGTTTAAATTCGCAGGCCTGTGTTATTGGTCATTCGGCTTATGTCATGTTTAGGGTATCATACAGCCTTGTTTCAGCTTTTATTCTGAGGTAAGGCACAACGTTTAAAATACTTTAAGTTGTTCAACAACAATGACAACAATAAATAAAAACGTTATGGGGAACTATCAGATGTACGAAAACAGATCAATCACAGCAGGCTATGCGGATTGGTACATATGTTGAGTTGCTTCCAAACCAATGGTGTATAGTTGGTCAACAAGACAACTATCACCATAACACAAGCAGACGACCGCTAGCTGTCAGAGCCGATTCTGGCTTTCCGCAATCGTTGGGTACCTTCTCTGGTACTGAATTATTCCTAGTTGTAATTGGCCACGGTATCTGTGATGCTAGAAACAGACGTCCAATGAAGAAGTTGCATTCTTCTCGTAGGAAGTCATAAAAAGAACTCGTCTGTAATAGTGCCAAGAACAGACTAGCGGATGAGACACATGGAACAGTATTAGTTTTACAGCCAAATAACAGGTGTATATTCGCTTGAAAAAGAACCTGAGAACAAATCCAACCCAATATGCATACAGGAAATAGACACATATGTACTGATGGACGTAGCGACATCTACATTCTACGAAATTATATCATTAACACTACACATTATAAGGGTCATATCATACAACTCTTTACGCTGCTATATGCTACTGCAATTAGTTCTAACATTAGTCTGATAAGGGATAACACTTGCCTCCACTGTACTAAACTGGTCGACACATTCATCGAAAAACTGAATTGACCAAAAGGAATTACATGAAATCTTACTGGACTTCGCATCGCAACCTGTCAACACTAAAAATTCCAGGAAAACGGCTGGAGGTATGGTCGAGTATGTCTCTGCATCTTATCAGTATTCTAATTTTAAGCATGCAACACTCTTATTATTTGTGGTGATCACGAGTCATATTGAGGAGAAATGTTATAAACTGTAAAGATGTAGTGGTATTTTCAACCTGAACTGTCAAGTCAGAGACCCCCCACCCCAAGGTTCAGGTTTGTTTGTCCATAAGTTAGCGCTGCTGACGACAGGGAGGGCAACTAGTCAGCAGCAAACGCCTTTTAAGCGGCTACTCTTAACCGAATTGTGAAATTTATTAGTTTGGTTTGGTTTGAATTTCACGCAAAGCTACACGAGGGCTATCTGCGCTAACCGTCCCTAATTTAGCAGTGAAATACTAGAGGGAAGACAGCTACTTATCACCACCCACCGTCAACTCGTGGGTTACTTTTTTACCAAAGAATTGTGGGATTGACGATTACATCATATTGCTCCCACGGCTGAAAGGACGAGCATGTTTGGTAGGACGAGGATTCGAACCCACGACTCGCAGATTGCGAGTCGAGCGCCCTAACCACCTGGCCATGGCAGGCCCAACGTGAAATTGATTGACACATTTATAACGCCCTACAGCTGAAAATTCAGTGAGTATTAAATGGCATATTACGATTCGAATCTTAAAACTTTCGACCGCAGCCCAACACACTAATCACTAAGTCGCTAGGTAACCAGACAGAACATCAGATGAACTGAAAGGTGATTTAAGCTATTTTGCAAAAGTACGTTTATCTTGTTATAGCTAAAGTGTTATAAAGTTCAATTTATCCCCTCACTGATTCGTGCAGGGTATAATCATGAACTTTTAGTAGTGTAATGAAACTATAAACGCAGTACATCAGCTTTCACAGCTTAGATCAGTGAAAGATACCAGAATTTAGAAGCCCGAGATCTGTGGTGTAACAAAAACTAAGCGTCGTTAATTATCGATTATGTATAAAATCGGAGAGCTGAGAGAACTTTTATCTTCAGTTACAATTTATCTGTAAACAAGATTTTAAAATACAAATCAATCTTCTTGGCATGTCAACAGAATTCTTTACTAAAGATAATATATATTTAACAAACTTAAAGGCAACTTTGATATACAACAGCACATATCCTTGTTACCAATTTCGTCGTTCCCGAGCCAACACTATGAAAAAGATACATATAGAGTCACGAGATAGCAGTCATCCTCAAAACTTCAACGAAATATGGAAGGAAATGAAACTTTAACTGAATCAGAAGCCTGATTTGTGACTATGAAGAATTTGATGTAATTCTAACATTTAACTTCGAAAAGTCAAAATTAACTTTAAAATAGAACGGTTGCATAAATGGTATAGCGCCAACTAAAGATATTTCAAATGAAATTCTAATAGTCACTATACTTCAAACGTAGACAGTAGCTCGCTTAAATTTTTATCAACGTTTCTCAACCAGTTATCAGAGAATGCATGTGACAGTCAACTATTGGTAAGATTTAAATTAAAATATTATTTGATTGAAAACAATAAAGTAAGTATATAACAATGCTAGCTGATATGGCCCAAGGTTGGAATGCCGGATTGTAAATATGAGTATCCATGGTTCGAGTTCTGTTGCCATAAAATCGGGCTTTGCATTTCAGGGCAGTTATTGCATTATATAAAAGTGACAGCCAAATCCCCTTAGTTGACAAGCTGTCTTCCCTCTAGTCTATCAGTTTAAAATTAGGGATGGCTCGCGCAGATAGCCCTTGTGTAGTGCTGCTCGAATATACGAAATAAACAAACTAAAGTAGAAAAATACTTAAGTATGCAAATTCGTTAATTTCAACTTCAAAAATACGCGTTGATACCTTATTACGTTGTTAACACCGCCATGTTTTACTGAAAGAACATTTTCTGGGATGTTTAATAATAAACACAATTAAAAAACAAACAAAAAACATTTATCTATTTTGGGTATATATATTGCATACCGTGTATCTATACGCCAACTCTTGAGATTGTCACTTTAAGAAAATATTACATATGATATATTTGAATGAGATGTGACATACAAGCGACAGTATGAAACTGGAAGACCTAGTTTTACTTCTAGTGCATGGCCACATTGCATAGTAGAGATCTTACCTTTCATACCCAAGTTTCATATATATCAAATTAAAACCGTTATTTCACTTTATGCCTCACATATGTATTTCTCTGAAATTGTGTGTATTTAAGTTTTTGTAAACTATCTGTTTAAGACCCATATTTTTTTTTTTAATATAAACTTTTAAACATGTAATGTACTTTCATCTGAATAAATCTGCTATTCTTTGTTCACCGAATAATATACACTGCCATGTGTGTGCACAAATTCTCCTGGTTTTTCTCGCGCGCGCATCACGTAACACGCGCTCTCAAGCAATCTCGACCTCTGCCTAGTAGTTGATACAGTACAACCAAGAAGTTGTATAACATCGTCTTTGTAGCGGTGTTGTGGTTCGAATAATTGCGATTCACCATGATGCCTTTGTTGCTGTTAACAATGGTAAGTTAACAATTATCCTTATCCAACATTCTTATTCCAGTCGTTGTATATTATCCAAAAACGTCATCCTTTGTATATATATATCACATTATTACAACTTCCTTCTGATTAAATATCTCTATCAAATGATTGTGTAATTGGCTAAGAGTGATGATATATTTTAGGGAAAAAGAATTGTTCATTGAAATTTTAGTTAATTTCGAGACGCACAATGGCATTACCGTCACCAAGGTACTTATGACAATGTATGATAGTGACGTTTTCTTCTTGTCTATTGTATCCTGATGGCGAGAAACAGAATAACGTCTTCTTCTTGTTTATTGTATCCTTATGGGCAGAAACAGGGTCACGTTACATTTAGTTTTATTTTGAAATACACCGTTCTCTGGGCATATTATAAGTGTTAAAATATTGGGCGTTAATGTTTAAAGACGTTGCATATATTACACTTACAAATGACTCCTATTTCATAATATGTTGTATTTAAAGATGGTTTATACTAGATGGATTTCCGCAGGGTCCCCGGAAGTGTTCTGTTTCAAGAATAAATAAAACCAAAATTAAGAGTAAGAAATATTTTTATTTCTTGCTTTTGAAGTTCATATATCATACTGTGTTGTAGCCTACAGAGTGTATAATTCTTCTCGTGATTCGTGGCATGCGCACGTATTACTGACGTCACGACAGTACAAATTGAAATGTTAAGCGTTCCTTATGTGAACCCATTTTAGTGTTTACAGACTGACTGACATACAAAACCCTACTGTATAATGGCGCGAATGGTTAAAACAGGTGACCCCTCCAGGCCGTCTTCGGCCCCCTTTGGGGAAGTACATGAATCATTCACAGAACACTTATTAGATAATATGGCATTCAAACATCGTTTTTATTTAGGAACCCTTGTATGAAAAATTCAAAAACCTAAACGAAGATGTTTTCCCTGACATTTTCATGCCAATTTCCACGTGATTCTATGGATCCAGTTTTGAGAGTTCCCATAACTCTTTTGATCCCCACACGAGGGCTCCAATTTGACAGTTTCAAAAATTTTAACTCAAATATTTGTTTTAAACGTCTCCTTCCGTACTAACACTGTTTTTCAAGTAAATTGGTTCTCTCAAACATGAGAGTTATCCTAACCCTTTTTATTTCCTCTTGTTCCGTGGGCGCCAAGATCCTGCAAGTAAATTTTCAAGTAATTTTGTCAAGAATTGTGTGAGGAGATCAATAACCAAATAAAGATAAAAACATGTATGTCTGCGGACTTAGTAACGCTAGAAACCGGGTTTCGATACACGTGTTGGGCAGAGCACAGATAGCCGATTGTGTAGCTTTGTGCTTAACTTCAAACAAACCTGCCTGGATTTTAAAATATGATTTACTTTACCTGATACGTAGCGTTCAATGATGGTACAAATTATATAATATAATACATTTAGTGAGGTCTCATAATACATTCCACTATAAAAACGAATAAAGAAAGGGTCAAATTTTAATACATTCTGAAATAAAAAATACACCGGCGTGCAATTCCACAAACTGACAGGTCAGTAGTTATGGACACATTTACTTTGTTTTGTTATTAAAATGCACGGCGCAATTCCCAGGTCCTTATCCCGGAACCTCCATTTCCCCTTTATATTCTACAATTTTCTGTGTAGTTGTTTTTGTAATCATTTTAATTTTGCTTTTGTTTTTGAAAAACTGTGGTAGTTACTGTTGGTGGTGGGTGGAAATGTTTGATGAAAGTGTACAATGTGACCGTTGTAAACCAGATAAACACCGAGACAAGTCATGGTGCGTTGTGGGAATATTGTAGACGACGGTATGTACACGGGTAATGTCGACGTCAGGACAGCAAATTAAGTGGTTATCACTAATCAAAGGGCAATGAAGAGACTTCAGGAATTCGACATCAGTTTCAGAAGGCTTGCTATAGTGAACAGCACATATTCTATGGACTTTTGTAGGATCACTAGAATTTGTAATAATGTAGTTTTATACTTGTACTTTTCTACAAATGATCTACAAAAGTTCGTGGCTGAAAAGTCAAAGGTGAACAAGCCATTCATCGTTCAGTAGTATAGTATATATATATATATATATATACTGTGATTAATTTACAGTGTGGAGAGGCATTAGTATGAACGAACAAACAAATCTTATTGTGTTTCCAGAGAGCGGATTTACTCCTCGGTTATACATTGACGCAGTTGTTCATTACGCAGGCTATTTGTTTGTTTGTTAAACTTCCCGTAAGGCTATTCGTGGGCTATATACGCTAGCCTTCCCTAATTGTAAAGTGACAGATGACAGACAGAGGGAAGGCAGCTAGTCGACCCCATCAACCGCTAATGCTTGAGATACTTTTTACCAACGAATAGTAGAATTGACCGTCACATATAACGCCCTCACGGCTAAAAGGGCGAGCATTTTCCGTGATTAGATTCGACCCACAGAGAATTTCAAGACTGCATACCTAAATGACTTTTCATGCAAATCAGCATTTCTTTTATTTCTTATTAAACAATACGAGACTGTGATTTGAATAAAATGCGTGTCAGTGTAGAGGATATCGCAAGGATCAATGAAATATTGAGAACCTGTGGTAACTGCACTATCTTCATTTAGGAATAGGATTGATATGCTGGTTGAGAATGTAAAAGTTTGAAACATCCTGTACCGTATAAATTTCCTAAATAAAATTAATGATTCTCCATGTGTATCTAGTGAAATTTAGATTCCGTAGGACAAACAGTTTTAGGATATAACGAGTTTATACAAAGGGTTGAATATATTATATTAAAACGATATGGAATATGCATATCAGCAAGTTCCGTGATTATATGGTGCGTTTTTGTTGTTGCTGTTAATGTTTATGCACAAAATTATACAATGGGATATCTGTGTTCTGCCTTCCGTGGGTATCGAAACCTGATTTTCGGCGTTATAAGCCCGTAGACTTACCACTGAGTCGCATATATTACAGGTACAATCTTTCTTTCGGATATTATACTGTTTCATCTGTTTTCTTTCTAAGCAACTATTGGAGACAGTTTGGGGGAATCTCAAGAAAACATTCGTGCAAGTTCCGTTGTGCTCCGCATTAAACTGTATATGATTGGTTAAAACTGTTAGTACTTTATACCTACAACGATATAATTAGAAATCAGGTGTTTTTACACACCGTTTAGTTCTATTGTTCGTGAATACTTCAACACATTGTTGACACCAGTAAGTCATATTGTGAGCAGTGAATAAGTAACACGAAATAACCGTAGTTTTGGATGTAGTTTCACACGCACAACTTCTCCGTGTAGACTGTTTTTTTTTGTTTGCATTTTTCTCCTTTGTTTCTTATCTTTTGCTTTCAAATCCAATTCATGTAACTTCTTTAGAGTTTGGATTATGCGAATAAAATTAACGAATAAAACAGAGTTAAGGTGCAGAAAAGTGCGATAAAGAGGTGGTAGCCGATAAACCAGGAAATATTCACTTGGAAATTGGTCATCTACGTCATCCGTCTATGTTAAAAAGTGTAATATGCAGCACACGAGACATTGTTTGTTTAAATAGTGTTTATTGTGTGTGAATAGTATAAGAGTGTTGTTTATTCTAATAATATTAATTTCGTCTAACGTTTGCTGTGAATTTTATAATTAGTGTAAAGTGCACCGTGCACTATAAATAACCGTCTTAGATATTTTAACAATATACACCGTTTCTATAGCGTAGTATATAAGCGCGCTATTTACTTTAACAGTGTACACTGTTTCTAAAATTTATTGTGCAGTTATAAACGTATTGTTTATTTTAGTGGTTACTGACAATTTCTGATGAAAATTGAGCTAAGTATATAGATCATAAAAGTAACTATAAAATATTAAAGTCAATCATGTTTGAAAACAAATTAACGTGTTTAGCGTCATAAATCAATAAATATTAAACTAATGCCTATAGTAATTGAACCGTATTAAATCATTGGTTGGATATTCTCGTTGTTAACGATATTTCCGGTTATAATTCAAATGATATCGCACAACGTTTGGCCATTTTAGGAGACTTTGATTACTTCTCAGTCATGCAAAATAATCTTCGTAAGTGTAAAATTAATTTGAAAATTAATTCAAAAGAATTTTACGTGTTAATGAAACTCATTGTGTGTAAAATGTACTGTACAATGTATAACTTGTTTGTTCTAATAATGTTCATTGTGTGTACACTATAGCGTGCAGTATATAAAAGTACTTAAGTGTTTTCAGTTTAAATGTTCACTTATATATAATGTACTATGCAGTATCTAACCTATATAAAAGCCAGTATGTGTCACGTCACGCTTAATTTCTCGAAATAGGAGGAGTCATAAAAGCCAAAATGCATTTATCTATTTAGAATACTTCGATTACTCTCTGTCCATTACGATTTTAGTGATAGGGTGCAAGGGGGGCCGTGAGGGGTAGTGGTGCCATGAAACCTTATAAGCGTAGTGAGTGTTGGTATAATAAGCCTAAAGTAAAGAAGTAGTGTGGGATTACCTAACCTAGAGCCAATTGCATAAAATTTATCATGAAAGTAAAAATATATACATACTTTATTTAATAGCGTTTTTTGCGTAAGGTAACTGAGTAATATATATAAGTATAATTTCTCCGAAAGGGGGGCCGAAGGTCGCCTGATGGTGTCACCTGTTTTAACCACTCACACCGCTATATAGTAGTGTGTTGTCTCTCAGTCCGTCAGTAGACAATAAAATGACATCACATAAGGGACGCTTAACGTTACAATTTGTACTGTCTGTCATGACATCAGTAAAACGTGTGCATGCTATGAATCCCGAGAAGAATTATGTACTCTGTTGGCTACAACACGGTATGACATATGAACTTCAAAAGCAAGAAACAAAAATGTTTGTTACTTTTAATTTTGGTTTTATTCACTCTAGAAACAGAACACTTTCGAGAACCCTGCGGATGTACATCTTGTTAAAGTATTATACTGTT